AAAAATTGTCTCAGATCGACCCGGAAAAAAAATTTTCTTATAGAATGTGGCCTGTAGAATCCATAATTTCAAACAGTTCCAAGATTGGGCAACTAGTTCAAAAGTTACAGCCCTTTGAATTTTCTTTCGAAATTGGTTTCTAGTCTATAACTTTTGATTGAGAAGTCTGATCGAAAAAGTACGAATTGTTTTGGATTCTACGCACCACAATTAATAAGAACAAGTGTTTTCCCGAGAAATTTTGGTGTGGTCGATTTTTGGTAAAAAAGGAAGGTTATACACTGCCTTTTTTTGAGGGGTGAAAAAAAATTGTCTCAGATCGACCCGGAACAAAATTTTCTTATAGAATGTGGCCTGTAGAATCGATAATTTCAAACAGTCCCAAGGTTGGACGTCTATAACTTTTGATTGAGAAGTATAATCGAAAAACTACGTTTGTTTTGGATTCTACGCACCAAAATTAATAAGAAAAAGTGTTTTCCCCAGAAATTTTGGTGTAGTCTATTTTTGGTAAAAAAGGAAGGTTGTATACACTGCCTTTTTTTGAGGGGTGAAAAAAAATTGTCTCAGATCGACCCGGGAAAAAATGTTTCTTGTAGAATGTAGCCTGTAGAATCCATAATTTCAAACAGTTCCAAGATTGGGCTACTGGATCAAAAGTTACAGCCCTTTGAATTTTCTTTCGAAATTGGTTTCTAGTCTATAACTTTTGATTGAGAAGTCTGATCGAAAAAGTACGAATTGTTTTGGTTTCTACGCACCAAAATTAATAAGAACAAGTGTTTTCCCGAGAAATTTTGGTGTGGTCGATTTTTGGTAAAAAAGGAAGGTTATACATGCCTTTTTTTGAGGGGGGAAAAAAAATTGTCTCAGATCGACCGGAAAAAAATTTTCTTATAGAATGTGGCCTGTAGAATCCATAATTTCAAACAGTTCCAAGATTGGGCTACTAGTTCAAAAGTTACAGCCCTTTGAATTTTTCTTTCGAAATTGGTTTCTAGTCTATAACTTCTGATTGAGAAGTCTGATCGAAAAAGTACGAATTGTTTTGGATTCTACGCACCAAAATTAATAAGAAAAAGTGTTTTCCCGAGAAATTTTTGTGTAGTCGATTTTTGGTATAAAAGGAAGGTTATATACACTGCCTTTTTCTGAGGGCCAAAAAAAAATTGTCTCAAATCGACCCGGAAAAAAATTTTTCTTATAGAATGTGGCCTGTAGAATCGATAATT